CAGTTAAATACTAGCTCTTATCTTCAAGTGGCTCACTGTATTTCTAGTGCAAGTTTTTATTGGCTAAGAATAGTGGGCTCTAAATATTTAAATAAATATTTTTGTAGTGATTCGAATTTAAAAAATAATCTTTATAAAAAAATAAAAACCTTTATCAAAATAAAGATTAATGACAAAAAGCTTATGTTTTGGAATTTGATTGGTAATGACTGGATTTTGCTTTGTGTGGAACTTGTCACTCAAAGGAAATCTTTGTTTCTTTTTCTTTACTTCCTGAGCTTTTGGGTTTCCAGCTGTTCATGGTACAGTATTTTCCTGACAGATTTCTGAGCTATCAGATACAGAGTGAATGGATAGTTTAGAAAAACTGCAGTTGAATTCTGGAGTGTGTTACATTCAAGTTGTCTTTCACAGTCCAGCTGGAATGAGGACATGTTTGTAGTGGCTGATGATGACGGACAGTGAGCGAGACAGCTCTGCTCCAACTGTTCGTGTGGATGGCTTTTCTCCTCACTGTAATATCCGTTGCAATTGGTTCTGCTGGAGATAGTCTCAATAGCGAAGTGAAAAATACAGTGATGGGAATGACTTTTCTCAGGCCTTCTGGTGACTTGAGTGCAACACTGATGGAAAAACATGGGAAAGTTTAACTTCTGCTGTGTTTATTTTACTGTTCCCTGCATAAATGGAGAAGTTAAGTCTTTAGGGCTGTGATAACTTTGAAAGCAAGTCAAAAAGGCAATGAGTAGATTTCTTTCCCCCTCCTCAGAACAAAGCTATTTAAATGCCTCCAGTACTTATTTTCAGCCCTTCCCATGGCTGTACAAATAAGACATTGCAATTCCTACTTTTTTAAGAAATTGCTTTTCCTGTTTTAATATAGATGTAATCATTTGCTACCTGATGGTGGAGGCAGGGTAGCCAAAGACTCCCCTGGCTTTGCTCGTTCAGGCTTGAATTGCAAGTGACGGTGGTGCCTAATGACATTGCAGAGCACTTGGAAGTGTATGCCGGCACAACTGTGGTTAGAATTACTAACCACAGAGATTCAAAAGTCATGAGAGAGGTTGCAAAAAAAGCAAGACAAAACCAATCCACCTTCCTATAAATCTGGCGTAGAAATGATGGGATTATCAGGACAGTGACACCGTCACCACCCCCACACCACCACCACCCCTGATTGTCTCTGTTTTACTTACAGATATGTAACTTGAGAAGTCACTCCTTCAACTTTCTCTGTACACTTGTGAGAGAAAAAGTGGTTTTCGCTTTTGTTGAAAGATGAAATCAGGTTGTAATTTGCATGCTTTGCCATGCTTGAGCAGTTGACCCTATAGAGAGGGTACAAAGTATCCTTTGTTTTTTAGTCACCATAAAGTCATAAGTATTGATGATGATTTTTATATTAAGTGTGCACCACTTGATTGCTGAACTATAACCTTAAAATCATAACCAGGTGAAATATTCAGAGTAGGAAATCCAAGAGCACTGAGCTAACAAGATAAAAACATTTGAACAGGTCCTTGAAGTGTGCTACTAAATATGGATGCAGATGGCTTTAATGAATATTTCATTTAGGGGACCTTACTAATTAAGATCCATGTCTCCAATGAAACTTGAAAAACTACTGTTGTGCTTTTTAAAATTTAACACTATGTCACCTTTGTTAAATGAACCATGTGTAGATTGGCTTCTGTGTTTTCTGGCATGGGTGAAGGAGGATAAATGGATAAAGACTCCATCATCTTTTCCCTGTATTGTTCAAGGGTTAAGAGAGACGTTTTGGCATTCTTTATGTGAAACTGGTGTTTATTTCAGGAACTTACTGAGTTGGATTTGAATGTTCTGTTTTCAGTCATATCAAGATTTCTGTAATTATCACCGTGTAGGGCTGAAATTTTGTAAAGATGTAACTATTTGGACAAAATGTAGAAAAAATCAAAAGCATTGCATTGCAGTTTCATCTTTAAAGGAAAACTGTTTTCTGTCTGAAGTATGGAAATGGCCAGGTTCAAAACCCAAAGAGGGGCATTAAAGAAATGTATTATAAATATTTATGTAAACATTTATTGGTATTTAACTGAGTTGCTAGCCTTAGAATATGTGTTGTGGCTTTAGTGCCCTTCTGTGAAGCTCATCCAAAGCCTATGGGTCATATCACTTACATGATACTCTGTAGGGACTTGCATGTTACATAGGCTTTCTTCTTGCCTCCTGGATGGGATGAATATGTCTCTCTACTTGCATCCATATATTTCACAGCTGTTATTTGCTAAGTTAATTAAGTGGAGACTAAAATCCATAATATTTAGTGCAGACTGGAAAAAAAGCAATGTCAGATCTCTTTTTGTTGTGCTGAGCTCTGTGGTCATGAGTTAAATCAAGTTTGCTGTCATTTTTCTTACTACTCTTGTTGCTGTTGTGGTTATCATTATTTGTGTCACTGTCATCCTTAGGAGCTCCAAATGTGGGCTGTTACTGCATTGTTCTAGGTGCAGAACAAAAAACCTTTGAAAGCTTGTATAAAGGATGTGAGAAAGACAACAGTGACACCAGGAGAGAGAATAGTACAGACGAAATGTGGAGCTGACGTATTTGGAGTGATTGCTGTAGTCTCTGTCAGTCAAAGAGTTTTTAGGTTGTTGTAACCATCAGGGCATAGGTGGGACTTTGAAGAAGGCATTTTGCAGATATTTATAGTTAATGTATTGCAAGTGAGAGAATAGGGAAATCCTGAGAGTGTCTTTGTGTTCACTGCATTCCTGCTCCATCATGGAGACTGCGGTCCAGAAAGGAAGAAAACTGAAGCAATAATTTCAGTTGTGGAAAGCAGGTTGCTTACAGATTTGTGAACTAATTCCCTAATGGCCCTCTGCGATCCACTGTGAGACACAGTTTTAGGAACTGGTTAAAATAATACCCTTGAGGATCCAACAGCATAGATAGCTAACCTGAGGCTTCACAGCAGCTGCAGGGGTTATTGCAACCTTGAGGCTGCAGTGGCTGCCACTGTGGCTGCCACCTATGTTAGACTATTTTTCCCCCACAGAGTGGGTGGTGACAACAGGTTTTAGCCCTAAAATGTATCCTTATGGCTTCCCAGTTGACTAGGTGTATATGTCATGTGCAGACTAGATTATTCATCTGAACTTGTTTTCTTTGAAGGAGAAAATGAACATATTCCACTAGAATATTAAAACTAAGACAACAAATGGCACATCAGGAAATTACACTTAATAGCTTACTTAACACAAAAAGGAGGTTTTGCTGTATTTAAGGTAAAGATCTCCTGCCTAGTGAATGAAGGGAAGACAGTGGATGTAGTTTTTCTGGGTTTTAATAAGGCTTTTGATTCTGTCCCTCACAGCATCCCTTTGGACAACTTGTCCAACTGTGGCATGAGCAGGTTCATGGCTGAAGGGCAGAGCTCAAAGGGTTGTAGGGAATGGGGCTACATGTGGCTGGCGACCAGTCGCCCACGGTGTTCCTCAGGGCTCAATTCTAGGGTCAGTTCTGTTCAATATTTTTATCAATGATCTGCATGAAAGAGCTGAATGACCATTAGCAAGTTTGCTGATGACATCAAACTGGGAGGTGCTGTTGACTCTCTTGAGGGACAGGAGGCCTTGCAGAGGGATCTAGATAGATTGGAGCATTGGGCTATGATTAATGGGATGAAATTTAACAAGTCAAAATAAATTGGGAGAGGAGCGGCTGGAGGGAGAGCAGCCCTGCAGAAAGGGATCTGGGGGTGCTGGTCAGCAGCAGGCTCAATACGAGTCAGCAGTGTGCCCTGGCAGCCAAGAGGGCAAACCGCACCCTGGGGTGCATCAAACCCAGCATAGCCAGCCGGTCAAGAGAGGTGATTATCCTGCTGTATTCAGCATTGGTGCGGCCTTACCTTGAGTACTGTGTGCAGTTCTGGGCCCCACAATTTAAGAAGGATGTGAAGGTCCTGGAATGCATCCAGAGGAGGGCAACCAAGCTGGTGGAAGGGCTGGAAGGCATGTCCTGTGAGGAGCAGCTGAGAGCTCTGGGTTTGTCTGGTTTGGAGAAAAGGAGGCTGAGGGGCGACCTCATTGCTCTCTACAGCTTCCTGAGGAGGGGAAGTGGAGAGGGAGGTGCTGGTCTCTTCTCCCTGGTATCCAGCGACAGGATACATGGGAATGGTTCAAAGCTGTGTCAGGGGAGGTTCAGACTTGACATTAGGAAGCATTTCTTTACTGAGAGGGTGATCAGACACTGGAACAGGCTTCCTAGAGAGGTGGTCAGTGCCCCAAGCCTGTCAGTGTTTAAGAAGCACTTGGTCAATGCCCTTAATAATTTCATATAACTTTTGGTGAGCCCTGAAGTGGTCAGGCAGTTGGACAAGACAATCATTGTAGGTGCCTTCCAACTGAAACACTCTATTCTATTCTATCTTTTGATGATGAGAAATACAATGGCATACTTTTCTATTTACCTTGAACGTGCTGAAGAAGAGGAAAGATGTTAGGTTGTCTAAGTCAGCATTTACATGATAATTCGTTATTAGATTTTCGATCACAGACTTACATTCAGGCCAAGGAGATGGAGATGTGCTCTGCTGTCTGCTTGCCCACAAATCCTTTTCTGACTTTCATATTTGCCTCAGACTGTAGCAACTATAGTAGACTGGTGTCTTATGCCGCTGCAGAGGATTAGCAGGACTTGTACCCCTGATGAAGAGATTCTATTAAAAAACAAGAGGTTTCTGCTATTTAAATAATAATTACAGAGTACTGAGTTATAAACCATCCTGAGTGTATCTGTTACTGGTGCTATTGTTGTACCTTCTGTTTCTTTACTGCTGATGTCATTGTATTTGAGTTTTATTTAATTCCTTATAGCTGCTTTTAAAAAGGAAATAACTATAGAATACAAGAATGGTTGTATGACCAGTTAATGAGATTTCCTTCTGACAACACGAAAGTGTAACAAAAGTTTTCATGATAAAGAAATTGTTTTCTTTTTCTTTGCAGGTACCATGATCAACAGGATGTTACTAGCAACTTCCTTGGAGCAATGTGGTTGATTTCAATAACTTTTCTATCTATTGGATATGGTGACATGGTACCTAATACATACTGTGGGAAAGGAGTCTGTTTACTCACTGGAATCATGGTCAGTGTTTCTGAATTTATTCATTGGATATGAGATTAAGTTTGCTGCAATTAATCACAAAACTTGTGGTAGTCATAAGAAAGATTTATTTGCTGGCTTGTAGAGTCTATATACTTACTCGCACCATTCCCATGGTCTTTCATTCCTGGTAATGGAATGGAGGGTTTTCTTCTTCTTTAGGTAAAATTTAGCAGCTGTGTAATGAAATACAGAGAAACAAATTCCACCCTGATGTAATTTGCAGCTTCAAAATCTCAATAGCATCCTTCATTAAATGTTAAGGTATCGTATCATCTCAATTATCTTTGGACATGTGTAATTGGACCAGTACTAATAATGAATCTACAGTTCTGACTTTTGTTTCTTAAAATTAAGTTACTCACAAAGAAATGTGATGGTGGCTAATCTCTTAAAGCATTTTGCTTGAGCATAGTTTTCTACATTATTTCTTGTAAGTCTAATAACATACTATCCATAGCATTCCATTGCTTTAAGTGGATTTATGCAGTGCAATTTTCACTGTAAGAGTTTTTATTACCATTGATACAATGCAGCAATTGTTAGTCCATGCATATTCAGTATATATTTATTAACTGTACTTAATGCCTGGTTTTAATTTTTCTGTTTTGCACCATTTGGTCAAAGTTAGGCAGGGAGTAAGGCGATGTATTATAAAGTCTGGGAAATTTAGGCATATCTGCAGTAAATTAGAAGTAAAAAAGCTCCAGACTCTGCCACTTTTATTTGTATCAACTCTGTGTAAATGTCCCTATGAATGAGAAGGGCAGAATAAACATCATATATACTGTATATAACAGTAAGATGCATACTTGTTTCTGAATTTTTGCCATTGATCATAAGTAATGCAGCTCCAATATCTACCTTCTGTTAAAATAGATATATTTGGATTATGGCTGAAAACAAATGGTATCAAATAGTTGCCCCTTTTGAATGGGTGTTTTGAAAGAATTTTTGTTTATAAGAGTGTATTTTGTGTCCAAAGAGTAAAATAGATCAATGCATTTTTGTAATGTTTAAGATTTTTTTCCAAATGCTGTTTGTTTTTTTTTTTAAACACCTGACAGGTTTCAGATCATTGACCTTTATTGGGAAAGACTTCCAGTACATTTTGCCGGTGGCGGCAAATGCATGTCTTGTTAAATACAGAGTTTGCAATGTAGTTGGAAGTTACAGGCTGAAAGCAGAGGAATGACTCAGAAGGCTTTTTTAAAGGCTGTTGGCTAAGCTCAAATCTGCCATCTTCTGGGGTATTTGCCTTTGCTCCTCTTTCTGAGCTAGATTTTGATTCCAGAGAGAATGAAACATGGTCATAAGTTCATTAGGAAAAAAGGAGGACAAGCAGTATATATTGCCACGGGGATGTGCAGAATGGGGACAGAACCCTGTTATAAAGCTTTCCTTCTTCCCAGGCACTGTTTAGAAATAAGAAGCAAATATTTGAAGATTCAGCTATCAGATCATTTTGTTCACTCAAATTGTTCAGCACTTTTGGCATTTCATTATGAAAAAAAATTACAGTAACAGAAATCTAGGACCTTCAGAGCCCTGCAGAAGTGCAATGAGAATAGTAGTATTGATACCAATCGCCTATGGGTTTCACACTGCTATTGTGTTTATGCTAGTGCAAATGATAACAGCATCTGGACTATTATTTTGAATAGCTGTGGGTGGGCTTATGATTTTATTATGATGAAAACAAGGTAAAAATAAAATCAGAAAAACAGACTCCAGATTATTACAAATGTTACTCTAGACGCCTATGAATGAACCACACAGATGCTGAAATTATAAGATATATTTGTCGTTTTGCTTATGACAGCACCATTTGGATTCAGATGTAAAATTATTCATGGCAGTTGCTTCCATTGCTTTGGTGAAAAACTAAAGTACCATTTGCACACATGGCATTTCTTTTTCACAACTGAAACAAGGTTCTGTTGAAAATTAGACTTGTAAAATGTATGGATGATGTTCACCTTCATGTCTTTGTTTTTTATGACTAAAAATTCTGTAGCTGCTTTGGAAGCACAAAGACTCTAATCAGAATCTCATGGTAATGAGTTTGGGATAAATACCTCCAGAGACAGAAAGCATTCTTAACCAAAAAACGAGTCAGGTAGCTAGTGTGTGATGATAGGTAAAACAATGCTGAAAGCCTGACCCCTAATTACATTTTTAAGGACATCCGCAATATGGCTTTGGCAAACGTCATCTTTGAGAAAAAAATTATGGAGCAATGGGAGAAAGTCAGATGTTGAAATTACTGTTTCCTTTTTTTTTTTTTTACAAAGGATCTGAAAGATATGAAGTATGAAACAGTGACCATAATAATGAACTATCTTCCAATGCTGAAAGCCTGACCCCTAATTACATTTTTAAGGACATCCGCAATATGGCTTTGGCAAACGTCATCTTTGAGAAAAAAATTATGGAGCAATGGGAGAAAGTCAGATGTTGAAATTACTGTTTCCTTTTTTTTTTTTTTACAAAGGATCTGAAAGATATGAAGTATGAAACAGTGACCATAATAATGAACTATCTTCCAGCCTAACCTGCAATACAGAAAAGCTTATACATCTTAAATATAATTCTTTAAAACCAGCTAGTCTTCTGAAACTTGTGCAGTAACTAGTTAATCTTTGTTGTGGAAAAGATAAGATCCTAGAAGAACAGACTTACTGGTTTTTATTTCAATAGGAGTTGTTGATGGTCTAATTAAAAGGTACACCAGGATGATTGTTGAATGAATGTAACAAAATCAAACCATGTATGTGATTTTAAGAGGGAAAATGTAATTCCCTAGCATCTGGAGTAGCAAATACATTGTTGGATTAGTGTGATCAATACCAAATACCTCTGAGTTTTTGCTTTTGGATAAGGTCCCTGTTAAAAAGGATGGAAGGGAGAATAAATAGAAATACTTGTGAATACAAGAGTAGTTACAGAGACCACTGAAGAGTTAATATTGGCTTTGCAGAGCTGGTGGCCCATGGAGGGCTCCTTCGGTGTCTTGATGCCAATGAAGGGAGAGCCCAGGTGCCCTGGCTGTCCTCCCACTTCTACCTCAGGAATTGCTTTCTGTGCGATGGAAATTGGACTGCACAGGCTGAACCCTGTGTTGTGCTCCAGCCTGGGAAGTAGACTATATGCAGTCTGCTGACGGCACAAAGTTGTGCTGGCTATTGAAACTGCAGCTACTGCTATCTTGAGGCACTGGTTCAAGTGACATCTTTTAAGTTCTGCAGATGCACACTGCTGGAAAATAGGAAAATCTTTACACATATTCAGATTATACCAAAAGGAAAAAAGCCTTGAGAATTGTTAAGAGTAAGCCAGCAAAGAAGTCTGAGCAATCTATTAGAAAAATTAAAAAAACCAAAACCCTGTGAACAAAGAAGGCAAATACTGAAAAAATGTGTACTGTCGTATTGAACAATTTACTTTTTGATCTTGCAAAGCACTTAAATATGTGAAACTTTAATGAAAATGCTACACCACGCGATACAGAGTTGGTGGCATGGTTTAATGCAGAGGCGCTTTACAGACAGGCAAGTGAAACTGAACTGGGTACCTCAACTTGATTACCTATCAGTGTTTTTCCAATGAGATTTCGCCAGGCAGCAGTAGCATACTGTGGGCCAGGTGGACTATAAATCAGATAGCAAATGTGGCCTCTGCCCCCTGTATACATTAGGCAGGTCTGCAAGAGCGTGATGAATGGACAGAAATATGAGTGCTGTCACAGTTATCAGAACAGGATACAGAGGAGATGGGGAGACCTATGGCAGCATCACCACACCATGCAGCTCATTGGAGTTTTGTCTGCCCACTGAAGATGGCATCCATGGTTGTCAGTGCACACCCAAGCAGATCTCTCAGATCCTGGTCAGCAGATTGAGCTCAGCTACAGGTGGAGCACTTTCTTTGTGCTGGTGCTAAGTGGAACTGCTTATATAGGCAGCACATCCACCTCCTTAACGGCTTTTTGGAGTTAGGGCCTTGGAGTGTTTTGCCAAATTTTCCTTGCTTTATGAGGAGTATAATGAAGTTAGCAAAAATTTAAAGAAGGGAAGTAGAAATTGGTAGAAGTAAAAGGAGGGGGGCAAGTGTGAGAAAATATGGGAAGACGCTTAATTATTGACTGTGAGATGGATAATTTTTACAGATCTTTGTAGGCTTTTGTACCTACACAAGATAAAATAATGGCAATCCATTCTTCAGACTCCAATACAAGGATCAGTTGCAAGGTTTGAGAAGGACTCTATTCCTTTTACATGCAGCATTATGTGGTGAGCTAGTGCATTTATTGTATGATGCAAAGCTAAGGATGCAGAATCTTCCTGCAGAGCCAACTGCCAACAGTTAGAAGCAGACATGCAGAACATAGGTCAAACCTATGTTGCTACAATAAAATGGATGAGTTGCAATTGTCCTGTCACAGGATGCACAGGGTGGTTGGCTATAGCTTGAATGAAGATTGCTTTAAATGAAATAGCTGTTATTTCAGAGTGTCTGCCTCCCTAATGCTGAAAGTGCAGCTTAAATGATTGTTATTGAAATGAACTCCAAAGAGATTGTTAAACCTATGAAAGAACCAAATAAATTAGGAACGTTTTCTTAAATTTACATCATAGAGGTGGACAAGATTAGATGTTTCTTTTGGAAAATTTTTAAATAGCATCTTTTAACTACAGGATTTGAACACCACTCATGTAGGTGAAGAATTCTTACCAGAGTAGTCGCAATGCAGTAAATGTGTACAATCTGGCCTTAGGGATACTAGTTTTTATTAGTTCTAAATTGTGAATCAAAAATGAATCAGATCTGATTTTAAGGCTTCTCATGCTGCAGCTTTTAATGTCCTTGTGGAAGTCTGCATTTAGTTCAAAAGAATCACAATTCCTTTCCTATGCATCATGAAAAAAGTGACAAGGATGAGGTGTTTCTGAGAATAGGGGACTCTTCATCTAAGGTTAAAT